AACTTGTGCTGCAAAATTTGGAAACGCTGACCAAGGAATGAGCATCAAGACATGCCATGGCAATCAAAATTCTCAAAGCAATCGGGCGTGTATTATATCCATTGCAACCCCATGAGGTTCTCATCAATAACAAGAAGCAAAAAATTAACTTCAAGGGGGTGTGATACATACTAACTTTATTTCGATCAATATAAACCTTAGCATTACTATATTTTCTCTCTTGAATTCAGGAATAAACTTTAAAATGCCAAAGATTAACAGACAGCGTGTTCTTTTAAAAACGTTCAAAGAGGTAAATCTACCTTGAATACCATGTAAGGTTCATTTAGTTCAATGTCAAACTCTTCTGAACCACTGAGATTTTTGGTGAGTACATCTATGGGCCTTGAACGTCCTTCACGCAATCTAATCCCAGATCTGACTTTGCTTTGGTCAAAATGGAACTGTTCAAAAAAGTGAACCAAATTACTGGAAGATAAAAGCATTGCATGAAAGTATACATCAGGAGTAGTAAAAATGTGGTGATGTAGAAAGACATAAACACCTCTTCTTCTTTCTTCTCCCAATCTTGAAACTCAGCACGGGCTCGCTCTCTAGCTAGCATTGCCTGCAACATTTTACAAAAGACAGGAATGAGCAGCCTCAACAAAACAATCCTTAGTCAGTTTTTCTTTTCAAGAAAAAGAATCCACGCATACGTGGAAATGTGTGTTATATTTAGAAAATCAGAATTCATAACCAACCATTTCTTCCTCATGTTGTGCCTTTTCAATTGCCCTTTCCTCTCTTCTTTTCTTAACTTTCTCAATCTCTGCCTGCATCATCATGCAAATATTGTTATAATGGTACAAACCTATGCACAAAATATGCAACCAAAAGTACTTGTCCAAGATTAAAAATCAACTAAGAAGCAAATAAAAGCTTTTCAAGCATGCATAAAAACTACAGTATACAATATACCCAAGCCTGTAGTAGGCAAAAAGAAAAAACATAATAACATATACTGTTAATTTTTTCATGAGAATTATTCAAACAATATTCAAAGTGGAACATCCAAGTGAGTAGGCATATCATTAATAGGATACAAAATTATATTTCTTTCCATGTCAGATAGTCATATCTTTATAGATGTAATAATATGAAATATCATCTTGCTTAAATGGAAGTTCTGATGAGGAAGGTAAAGAAAGAAGAAATCTACGTATCTATCTCCAGAACGTTTCTGGTGCCACAGGAGAGTTATATGCTGAACACCTAGATAACAAAGGCCAGAACAGAACAACAATGAAAATTACTGACCAGGTTAAACTCATTGTCAGGTCTAAAGGGCCAATGGCATATGGGAGGTGGAAGGGAGTTAGAGATCAAATCAGTCGAGTTACAATCATGTCAAACTCATTCTTGGGTCTCCAAATCCAATGACAAATGGGCGGTGAAAGGTCGCTAGAGATCAACAAGGTCAAGCTCAAGAGGAAGATTGTGTTTTGTTCTGATATTTTACAACCAAAGGAAGTATATTCAGAGACCAACCAAAATATGCAAAATCAAATACTCAAAATCTGTTTCAACACAAACAAAGACTGAAACTGTAAATTGAATGAAGTTATACATAGATAATTAAATCAGATCATGATGTACCATATATATAATCCAACTAAAATCATAGCTGCACTTGCATATAGCAGTCAACTTATGTTTCCATTTAAATTAATGACTGAAGTGGTAAATCTTGTACATATTGCAAATATTGTAATAAACTATGGAGTTGGCCTATCATGTTATACACTTATAACTACTTAACCCGAATTGAATGTTATGCAATCTAATTTGACTGATTCAAGCAAAACTGAAATAAAATATGAATGATTATGCAGTTGTAGTACATGATAATTTCATACCATCCTTTCTCTTTGCCTCTTCTTTTCAGCCTTTACAGATATATCCAAAGGTACACCTTGAGTGATATCATGTTCTATCTTTTTCCTCCATACAAACCTGCCAATATGATAATGAACAAAGTAATAAGTATGAAAAAAAGGAGATATGATAGCATGCTTATGAAGAAAAGCTCCTTTCTTTCACATCCAAAGAGGCCTTCTAAAAGAATAAACCTCACTTGTTAATACTAGAACAAAGTAGAAGAGATTACGACCTACCAAGGGACCAGACTATATCTTTCTTAGAAATAAAGAAATGAGAAACACAAATCCAAGAAATATGATTATACTCAAATATCCAAAAGGGTGATTATCTCAATTACCAATGCATACACCAAGCCTATATCAAATTTGATGAATGCACAAGCAACTGCTAATATAATTAAGACATGTCAATAGTCATGATAAACCTACTTCTGTTACCTTTTTATTTTTACATGCTTCTTTCTATTCATAGAATCTTTTTCAACATGAAAATGCTGATGTGATAAACCTTCCATATGAGGGTTCAGAACATCAAAAGCCCTCCTCCGCAACCCTCTTCTAATCCCATGCCACCACCAACCAATCGCAACTGTTACTATTAAAAAAAAATTAAAGTGTAATTTTTTGTTTTCCTAAGTCTCCTCAATTTTTCTGATTACAATCCTCTTATAATCCCTTTTGTGTGCTCTTTTTTGACGTATTCAATGTAAAACCTCCTCCCCAACACAAATAGAAAAATGCCTCTTTCTTTTGTTTCCTTAGTACATAAATTCTTGTCCTAATGTCGCTCTTCATCTTTTTATTTTCCTCAGTCCTCTGTCTTTTCGCATCTCCAATTACAAAACTCTCCCAGAAGTGTTATAAACTTCTTCTCATAGTCCTTTAAGGTTTCGTCCTATTATTTGTCAGTGATCATCTTGTTTATTGTGTGGAATGTTTGACAACTTTGGTTTCACATGTTGCCAACGTCAATTTGCCCCTTCCGATTTTCAGATTGTCATATCCTATTGGTGAATCAAGTAATGCAGCTAAGAATATCACAAGCTGATTATTAGAATTGAATAGACGATTATAAAAATAAGTAGAAGTCAGAATAAGAAACTCCAAAAGAATGTTCTATATATCCCAGTCAATTCAGTTACTTTGCAAGAATAGACTAGCTCAAACGGGACCCAAGAAGGAAATGATTTGTTTTTTAATATTGGGTCAAGTGAAAAGTGTATTTGGAATAACCGAATGAAGTGAATGGAAGTAGAAACCTGTCATTGTAGTTAGTCTTAGTTGGCTTTAGACTGTGATCTTACAGTCTTACCCACATAAAGATTTAAACCTAGTAGTGACTCTTACTCAAATAGGATGCAGAAACAACAGTTAAGTGGCACACATGAAGATTATGACACATTACCTCTGATGGACTAATAATTGATTTAGTTCATTTTTCACTATGTTTACCTCTACTTGGTCAAATTGTTAGCTAGAATAAACTAATAACCTCTCTTACCATAATTTAGGTATTTATTTCTAAATGGGACAGCCAATAGTCACCAAATAACCCGCCCTAGTATTCATGTGCAATTTAGAGCTTGACAATCTCAACAAATATAGTACACAATGAGCACAGACAACTTGATGTTTCTTTCGTAACTTTACCAGACAGGGCATTTTATATGCTTAGAAATCAGATCAGAGTAATATATTTCCTACCAACATAATTGTAAATTTCAGGTACAATTTGCATCATCCAAAATTTCTTCTGTTTCCATTTACTCTGATGGCTGAACCAGGATCAGTCCCATAACAAGGCCACACAATCAACTGTATCCTTCCCAGCTCAGGCACCATACTTACTGTACCCCAGATAGCACGAAGTTTCAATCTGTCAAAGAATTCTATGCTGATGTGTGGGATAAGTGATGTAATTCACTTTCAACTAACAATCATCTTTTAGAAAAGGAACCAGAACCAAAAATAGTCCAGTTATGTGATTATCATCTTAGCAAATGAAGCTATACAATTCCTATGCTCAATTTCTATGCAAGGATTACTAAACCCTAAACAGCACACTGACTAAAAACGAAGAGCTCCTATCAATCAGATATAATTCATTATTAATTTCTTAAGTAAAAAAAGAGAGAGAAGTTACTTCTCGGTCAGGTTCGAGTCCCCAAATGGATTTGAATCATTGGAGTAACCAGATACTGCATTTGCTTTGAGCTTCTTCGCAACCTTCAGAGCCTAATGAAAACAATATTTTAAGGGATTTGAGAACTCCAACAAACCCTAGAAAGAAGTCCCAAAGCAAATAAAGCGTGGAGGAGAGAAAAGGACGGCACCTTCTTCTGGGCTTTCTTGGCCATGTACTCCAATACCTCCTCATCGGTGATATCCCTCGACGACCTCTTCTTCCGTCTCCCCCGCCGGTCCTCCGATCCGGAATCGAAGTAATCGCTGCCATCATCGTCGGAGCTCCGACGGCCACTGCTCCTCTTCTTCCGCCCCCTTCGGCTGCTGTCGCCGTCGCTGCTCCGGCGTCCGCTCCTCCCATGGGAAGAGCTCCGCCGCCTTCTCTGAGGCGAATCGGACGCCGTTTCAGACTCATCGTCGTCATCCGACGATGGCGATCTCCCTCGCCGCCTCTCTCTCTTACCATCGCCCTCGCCTTTGGCCATCGAATCGAAACCCCCTAATCCGCAGGTATAGAAGCACCGCGTTAATGACTTGGCCGAGTCCGGACTCGCTATTATTACAGAACATCCATCCCGACGCGTGATCTGCCACTCATTTCACTTTAAGAGATGTGTGCTGACATGATTGACGTTGTTAAGATTCGCATCAAGATCACGGACTGTAACGGACCGAGTTAATCTGCGGCCCAAAGGCTTCTGAGTTGGCCCGTTCTTGTTGAGGAAATCGCCCGAGCCGTAGCACCAAACTCGGGGTCTAACTCAAGGCTCGGACGATCAGGATCCATTAAATCAACAGCACGGGACGGTAGATATATGATTCGCATAAAAGCACGCGGAGAACATAGTAATGAAGTGCTTCCTCGAGGCTTTCTTCCTCTATATATATGTCTTTCACCCGATGGCATCGCCTATATAACCCTCGAGTCGAAGTCCTCCATTGCAGACGGACATCTGCCTCTTTCCCTCGTGGTCGCTCTCTTGCCTCGAGCGCACCAGCGGAGCTCTCTTTACCGTCGCTGAAGCCCCTGGGAGTCTGCTCTCGTCAGCGGCGGGCGGTGGATGAGATTAGGGTTCCGGCCGACGAGTTTTAGCCTAAAATCTCGCGATCAGAGGTCATTTCCTTCCGCTAACGCTCCCTATTATACTGTCGTACGGGCGGGAATTAAAAGCCCCTTGTTTTAAACCTTCTTTATTTACTTTGTCTTGGATTTTGGTTTTGGCGTCAGTTGGATTTGAATGACCGGGAAGGAGCAAACTTTCCTTTGCTTTGATTTGATGGTTTGTGGAATGATATATGCGTTGTCGCGGTTGATATATGGAAACTTAGATGGTTTATCTGCTTGGATGTCAGGTTAAGGATTCTTTTTATACATGATAGAGTTAACTTTCAAATTTCTCCTTTTTTTTTGTTGTTGCTTAATTTCTTGATAATTACAACAGCCAAGGAAAGATATTTGATGAAGATTATTTCTGTTGGGAAACGGGAAGAGAAGTTATTTCTTAGGGCTTTGAACATAAAGTGTTCAAGGGTAAAACGGTGTCTTTGCTTCATGTTGGTCTTTGATGCTATATCCTAGCGCTTGATGGACTGTTGAAGAAAAGAGGTCCATTTTGTATCTTAGAAAGGGGTCCATGTTTTGTTTTCACTATATGATGCTCCTCTTCTTTGAATCAAGTGCAAAATTCAACGCTCACGCAGGAAGGGGCATCTTTTATATTATTGAAAAGTGGGGTTCTCCTTGGTCATTTTTAATATCATGAAGGTTAATATCATGAAGAAATTGGCCTTAACAAGAAAACACAGAATCAAGTGCTTGTTTTTCTTTTACATATTCATTTTTAATTCTTCACATTGTAATGTACAGGAAACAAAACAACCTTCCCTTCCTTGTTTTTCTTTTTCTTATTTTGTAGCCCTGAGTTTTTTGTTTTTTAAGTAATCTTTGATCATTGGCATGCTAAAATAGGCCATGGCCACATTTGAGTTGTACCGAAGGTCCTCCATTGGCATGTGCTTGACGGAAACCTTAGATGAGATGGTATCTACTGGAACTTTGAGCCCAGAGCTAGCTTATCAAGTGCTTGTGCAGTTTGATAAGGTAATGTGGTTTTTGACCCTTGACATTTCTTGTGGATAATTCTATTTTCAGTCATATTTATGAGTGCTCTTCTCTTTGGTATTGTCTCCTTCCAGTCTATGACAGAGGCCTTGGAGACCCAAGTGAAGAGCAAGGTTTCTGTCAAGGTATATATTTACTGTTAGGTGTATTCTTTATCATGTATCCAAGTTTAGCAAAAAGGAAATTATGCTTGTTATGGTACTTGTGCCTTTAACCTTTTGTCAACTAGGCATTTGACCAAGACTGCTCTACAGTATCATGTCAAATGTGAGGTGTAACATTAACTGAAGTCTTTGCTATTATTTTTTGTTAATCTTGGATCCTGGACAGATTAATCCCACATCTGTCCGGGTCAAATTCTTGGACATCATTCCACAAGGATTTGAACCCAGAAGCTCTCCTTTAGATATAGTTATGTGCGACAAGTAGTTTCTTATATGTCATGCTTATGAGAGAACTTGTGGCCATATCAAGTAATTCTTATTCGTAGTGCTCTTGTTGCTTAAGCTTTGTTCAACTTTGGTATTTCTTGTTCAAATTATTCCTTTTCCTTTCCAGTGAACAGAAGAAATTCATCAAAAATAGCCATAGATGCAGATTCAAATATAAGGAAATCTTTGTAAATATTAAGAGTATCCTTTCAACAATCAACTTTGAAAAATTAACTCCAAATGAATTCCACTTCTTAGCTTACTTTATACTCACGATCTCCTTGAAAGCAGCAACAAGTTGCTGTAAGTTCCAGTAATCAGCGAGTGCCTTTCATTGTTTGCTGTCATGTACCTGGTGTTTTTTACCTTCGTATAGCGGGAACAATATGTAGAATGAGGTCCACCCTTTAGCATCCTGTAGGGGTGTTCCAATCGAACCAAAAAACCTAACTGAATCGGAATTAAACCAGAACTGAACTGATCCAAAACCGGTTTGGCCCGTACATCAATAGTTTGGTTTTGAAAGCTACAAACAGTTCTGATTCCGGATGCTGTTCTTCAGTTTGGTTAACTAGTTCGGATTGAACCAAACTTATTTTGCAAAGTTTCCTTGGGAACTTGGGTTCCATGAATTGGTGATCAAATGGGTGTACAAGATTACTGTTGGCTCAAGTTCAATATTACAATTTCACAAATCTTATCATGTTGGTTCAAGTTGACTAAGATTTCGATTCGGTTTAACTGGTTCATTTAAAATATATATATTTTAAATTACTTGAAATTACAAACTGGTTAACTAAATTGGATTAATTGATTTTGAATCGGTTCGGTAAAAGTAAGGTAGGTTTGAATCAGTTCGGACTTACCTTACTTTAATCGAACCAAATCATATATCGGTTCAGTTTGGTTCAGCCCTTAATGATTCGGTTTGAACCACTTTGAACAACCATAGTATTCCTTTCTAACCTTTTGTATCTCCCTCCCTCTATTTATTCAATATGGTAGGCTGTTACTTAAACACATCTTTTATTTTTGCATTTCTTTATCTGTCTGTCTTAAAAGCCTGATTTGATTGATCTTAAAAATTTGAGTCACTGGTTCTCTCTGTTTTATTATTTTTTAATTTTAATTTTTATATTTTTGGTTTTTAAAGTGAGGAACATTTCCGTCTTGTTTAAGCCGAATATATCATGATGTTCCCAAGAATTTTTCTTCACTCACACTTCTCTCAACCTCTATATTTCTCTCTTTTTCATCCTACCCCTTATTTTTGTCATCTTTGTTCCTCAGTGTTCTCTCTTTTCATTCTGTCAGCAATTTAGAAAATGATTTTCTTGCTTCCCCATCTCTATCTCTCATCTTTTTGTTTTTCACTTGCCTACAAGCATATGTGGATGTGATGGCATACATGACTGCTAGTCATCAACCAGAATTGGCTGTTCCCCCAGTAAGGCAATCATTGCTTGCGATCACATATATTATTACTAATTTCTTGCCTATGTCATATAGCTAAATAAATGAACAACTATTTGTTCAAACATCATTGCTGAAGGCAGGCTTATTGTCAACTGTTGAATTTTCATAGTGTCTTAGGAGATATTAGGAGTCTAAGGACCAGTTGTGGATCGTTTGTTTTCATCCATCTATACCAAATTTCAATCTTGGGGTGTTAACAGGTCCAGTAATGCCTGTTGTCATTGGAAGCAGTAGATCCTAATTTGGGCCAGACTCTAGAACTGTCTAAAACAAATCTGGCCTGGCACTGACCTCGACATGAATACGACTTGCTGAAATTGGGCCTAAGTTAGGTCTTTTTATCCTTCTTTTCCCTTCTAAACTGAGACACTTAGTGCCTGTAAGCAAATGCAGATTGATTTTACCACAAATTTAAACCGTTATTTTTGCTCTTTGCTCTGTTTCTAGTTTTATCTTGAGTTCTGTTCTTCATTTTGTTAGCAATTTATGACTAAGATATCATTAAGTGTATATTATCATGTTTTATATATTTGAAATGTGTAGGTATGTAATATATGGGACCAATGTTAGGATGCTTTGGTACATGGTCACTTGTTTTGAACTTATCCATGTGGATAATTTGTAAATGTCCTACATGCATCTATGCAGTGCACATACAACACATTTCCTACTAAACCTTATTGAACTTTTCTAGTTTTATCTTGAGCTCTGTTCTTCATTTTGTTAGCAATTTATGACTAAGATATCATGAAGTGTATATTATCATGTTTTATATATTTGATATGTGTAGGTATGTAATATATGGGACCAATGTTAGGGTGCTTTGGTACATGGTCACTTGTTTTGAACTTATCCATGTAGATAATTTGTAAATGTCCTACATGCATCTATGCAGTGCACATACAACACATTTGCTACTAAACCTTATTGAACTTTTCTGTTAATTAAGAATCTTTTTTCCACTTGTCTCAAATGTGCATGTTTTGCAATGAAGTTGAGTTAGTCAACTGGAAAATTCCGTATACTCTTGATTATTTAAGTGTACCAGATAGGAATTTTTTATGAGCTTATATACTTTCCTATGGCATGGGTATCTCGTCACTGTGTCCACATATTACTGTTGTGCTTTGTGTGTCTGCAATATACAGTACTTTCATCCTTGATTAAATTATGCTGGTTAAGTTTTACAAAGACAATTTATCTTGCTCCATGTCTTGGCCTCGTTGCGTTACCGGTACTTATAGGTACTTTTGTTGATTTCACAGTATTGATTTGGCAAATTCTCTCATAGTAAACCACCTTTTGTTTTAGTCATTTCCGGATACATAATGACCAGTTTAGAAGTTGTCGTGGGTATGGAACTATTGTTATGTGGGGTTCCCATTAGTTTTATTAGAATGTAGAACTGCTTTCCGCTTGCCTCTTAAACTTGTATTTTTCCTCGTCACTCCTATTTGTTGTCCCATCCGTTTCAGGTCCATTGGTTCCTTCTAACTGTTTGAAGTTTATATAGCTATCCTATCATGTGCTTGTTATGCTGACCTATAAGTTAATCTTTTGTAGTGCCTTCTCACGTGAATGTTATACTTAAATATCATTGCATGGGCATATCCAATTTCTGCACTTTCTACTGGCCAAATCGCTTGTCATAAAAAAAATTGCTAGGAAGTACTGTATCAACCTTAAGGGAACTAATTGTCACACCCTCATTTTTTAGTCTGTTCTTTGTTATCAAACCTGTCAATTCGGAAACCTGATATCTTTTTTCCTTTTGGGTAATGCTCTTGTGCAGGGTCATCTGCACACCTACAGGTTTTGTGACAATGTGTGGACATTCATCTTGCAAGATGCAGTTTTCAAAAGTGAGGACCGCCTGGAACAAGTGAAGAGAGTGAAGATTGTTGCTTGTGACTCCAAGTTGCTTACACAGTGAGAGTACCCGTCTTTCCTACTTTCTTAGCAGTGACCATGATTATGCATGTAAATTTTTCTGTTTCTGGACCGACCGGCGGATACCATTCCCTGTGCGAAACTCATCGTCTGGGGCAAAGACCTGTCAGATGAATTTAATTTTATCTTGAAAACATTGAAATCTCTGGAGAAGGTTTCAAAATTGAATGGTCTTTTCCGTTTCAGTATCTTGGTGTTGTGTTGAGATGAAGGATGATGGAAGGTCTTAAACCATGAGCCATCACAGTTCATCCAATTGGTATTGATGTCTACCATTGACAAAAGGTATAATTACTGGCCGGCATTAGTTATCAATAAAAAACCTCATCTGATCACCCTCTTTATTTCTCTTGAATGCTTTGCTGAGGCCATGTTGTCCACAGTCTCAGACCAGCCTGAAGCAAGCAAACCACTAGCTTCAGAAGACATGTTTTTGTCCCACTTCTAGCTGTAAAGCATCCTGAGATCAAATTGCAAGGATTGGTATGCCTTCATGATATATGAGTTGGATCCTATGTTCAAAATGTCAACTCACTGTTGTCCACTTCTCACCCAAGTATGGGGACATCGATCTAAATCTCTCTCCTAGATGTGGAGATGGAGAAAGACATGACATCATGTGAGAAGGTTACTGTGTGCCCCTAAAAACAACCAAACCTATCAGTCTTTTAGTTCTCTGCATCAGACAAGTAAGCCTTCTCCAACAGTTAAAAGCATCAGAGTCCTGACAGCACTTGCATTGGAGCCATCTCATTGTAGTTATCCATGTGGTCACTGTAGTCAATGGAAATCATGTGATCCTTCAGAAGAGATGGCACAGTCATTTACCTATAACAAATCATTTGGTTCTCTTACTCTATGATGCTTCTGACTTGAGAAATCAAATTAAATGCTATGATCCATAGAGTTGCTGTTTGTCCCATCCTTCCATCAACATCCATTTAATAGAACAACACATGGATGCAGAAAAACCCATTGTCATCACTGTGACTGCAAGTTGTGGATGACAAGTCACCTAGGCAATGGATGATGAGCATGGATGCCATTGTCTCATCACTGTCATGTTGGAGGTGTGATGGTGTGCAAAATGTGCACAAAGCTAGGTTGGCTCTTGTTCCCATTATGTGACACAATCAATCTTTTCAAGAGAAAGTTTGATGAGGCTTTCCTTCAAATGGATCTGATGGAAGACCTTTCTTGTCCACTGAGAACACTTGGTGACAAATATTTGTCTATAGGTGCTGTTTTCCTAAGACACCATGAAAGCTCTCAAATTTTGTATAGAGCAAGTTAGGGTAGTGTATAGGCTTTCAATTGACCATCCCAATCATTGAGAATTCTGAAAGGTGTTAATTTGGAGTCCTTGACTCAAAGATTACATGCCACTGATGTTGTCACAGTCAAAGTCTGAAAACCACATGAGCCAATAGAAAATATATTTTGGGAGGTGGATGATAATTCATATATGAAACTATCAAGAATTGAAAGAGCCGAGTGATATATATTAGTTTTGACTAATAATTCAAGAGGTTTAAGTTTTTTGAGTTATACTGGTATTTAATCCTGGCCATGTTAGCTCTGATGAATCCGACTCAATTTTGAGTTCAATGAATTAAACATTGACATGGATCAAAGATAAGAAAGATTACGACAGTCCTAATCAATTCTTAATAAATGATAGGAACAAAGAAACATCCAATGGTAAGCATGACATGACATGAATGAAGAGTAGTTATTGGAAAGAAGAAATAGAAAGGGCAAAGGTAAATGATATAAATGGGAACTTCGCTGTACTTGGAGAAGTCTATGAATTTTTTTTGTAGTATATGCTGGGCTCAGATCTCAATTGGGTTGACTGCTTTTGTTAGTCTCAGAGAAGTGGGAAATATGTTATTGGTCAGTTGGCTCATCTGTCGTGATAACTTTGGACTTAGGTACAACTTGAACCATATCGGTGGATATGAATCAGATAATATAAATAATAGTAATTAGGTTTGTTACGGTCAGAATGAGGTAACTGACCAATAATTCAATTTTGATCTCTCAATCACGGACCAAAATGTTTAATCGGGAGTTAATATAGTATACTCATCAGACCCATATAAGTCAATCATACAAATTATCCACTTCCGACGTGGGACTAATGAGATGTTACAAGATCACTCTAACCTCGCTTGACCTAACATATATTATGGTCTAACCCGACCAATTTAGCACTCGGGTTTCGAATTTTATAGTAGGTTTAGATATCCTTTAATAAGATAAACTCATAGTTCATGTATCTAAGTAAGTAGTTAGTCAGATTTTACGTAGGATAGTATCTTTTAAAAGATAAATGAGAGTTTACTATCAATCATCAAAATCTGTACTAGTTACTCAATATCGTAAAAAAATTATTAGATGAGAGTTTTAGTTCTCAACTCATTTACTATCAAACATAGCAACCAGTAAGACTCATTCATTCATGTGATTTGCAAGTCAAAATAAACATCCTCTCTCTCTCTCTCTCTCTCTCTCTCTCTCTCTGGGAAACTTGTTTTGTGGGGAATCAATGGCTATAGAATAATTCTTCTCGGAGCTGGGAACTGTTCTGCATCAATTTAAAGCTTTTGCTTGAAGTGGTTATGAAGATGGAGGATTAAATAGATGAACTTGCAAAATACTTTGATTAAGGAGTTCTCACTCTTTGTCCTATTCTTTGACTTTGTAGCAATAGTGATGCTTATTTAGATGCTCACGCTATTAGGAGCTTCCTTTTTGCACACCTTTACTTGCTATGTTAGCTTTAATTTAAATAAAATAGTATATATATATATATATATATATATATATATATATATATATATATATATTTACTTGAGTATAATAATGTTCACAATTTCTTTTTGATTGACTTGTGACCCTATTAGATTATAGAAAACCTTTCATTTATAGAAATTGTATATGACTAGTTTTCTTATTTGATATGATTAGTTTTCCTATATGATATGACTTTTCCATTGTTAAAGTATATATATAAAGTTATTAGAAAAGATTGAAAAAATTAGATGTTTCCTTTCGTGGATAATTACGCTTAGATTCGATATATATTAAATGACAAAGGATTATGTAAAATAAATAGATATATTGTAAGAAGACGTATTGTGGTTAGAGGACATCAAGAGATAAAAGAACATCATAGGCTTTCAATACATATTTAAATATTTTTGATTAAATTAAGGATGAACGAAAGAAAGAGATTCATATAATCACATTATATATTATGGTTTATTATTATTATCGATGAATTTTGGATGAATCCACACAGTTGAAATGGATGAGTAAGCAAAAGTTGAAATGGAAAGATTATATTATACTCATTTTTCTTGCATTTTATTGATGATAAAATTATACTTGTTTCATCATATGTGTCCCATTAAAAATGGCATGTAAGCCTTGGCTAGCAAGTAACCTATTATGTGACACTAGCTTTCCAATTTCTTACATGTGTGGTGGGCACAACCACATGAAGAAGAAGAAGAAGTCCATCAATTAATTGAATTGAATTGAATTGATGAAGGGAAGGGCAGGACAATGGACCAAATTATTGTGAGGGTGTTGAGGCATCATCAATCCATAGAGGAGGAGTTTTGTGTCCTCCCATTTGCTTCTGCTTTGGAGTTTGGGCTGTTGCCCCTCCCTTAAGCAAGTAGGGATGTGATAAATATGTCTGTTAAAGTTAGGGAAAGAGGTGAAGAAAAAGGTGCCTTGTGAATCCAACCCAATCAACACAAATCATTTACACCTACCTCTACATTACATGCTGCCTGTTTTATAAGGATTGGGAGCATGAATTGATGATTCCAACTTGGATTGCTATTGGATCAGGTTCAGTTCAATTGTAGATCCATCAGAGCTGAATCTTGTTGCTTACCAAAATATTGTTGCTTGATCTCAGGGCACTTTTTAGAGTTGGAGTAATAAATATTCCTTGTAGATTAGATATCTTATCCATTTAAATTAGATTTTTGATACAAAAATAAATATTCGAATCGAATTTGGATTTGGATTACCAAAGTATTTCTAGTTGTTCCATCTCATGGTAGCTTTTAGAATAGAATAGTATTCGAGATCAAATATCCAAATGTATACTACTCACTTAAATTGAGTTCAAAGATCTTCCAATTGAATTTGAACATAGAAATAAATACTTGAGTTAGGATTTAGTTTAATAAGTCGATTTTTTTCATGATTACTCAAATATATCAACTCTCCTAAATTAGAGTTGTCTAAACTTTTTTAGAATTAGATTAGTGCTTTTGGTTAGGTATATTTTGGGTATCCAAATATATTTTAAATTGGATTCAAATATGGTTCGATCAAATTTAGATAACAAATAAAATTTAGATCGAATTCATATTTCAATATTATTTTCATGGTTACTCAAATAGCTTTTTTTTTTAATAATAATAATATTATTATTTATCCGACCCTTTTTATTAAGATAGAATATGAATCTTATTCTGAGTTAATAAACATATTAGAAAATTTATTATTATTATTATTATTATTATTATTATTATTATTATTATTATTATTATTATTATTATTATTATTATTATTATTATTATCGTGATCATCAAATGAGTGCACGCATATTGATGAGGCTGCCATGTCTCAATCACGGATCATGTCCTCAAGGTGATGGGGGTGGAAATGGGCGCGAAAAAAAAAGATTGGTCCACCAACTGAGACCGTCCGATCTTAGGACGAGCCCGTGATGGCGACTCCACACCCAACACTTCCGAATACTTCTCTCCTCCTTTTTATTATCACATTTAATTTTTGAGATATTGGATTTGTGGGAGAAAAAAAAATACTATGACATTAGTTAAATTAAATTGATTAAAAAATTATATAGGATCCTTTTGTCATTTATTACTTCACATCATAAAATGAATTTTAAATATCATTCCATTACTTCAATCCTTCCATTCAAAAAGAAAAAAAAATACTATTACTATAAAACTTAACTGGTAAAGATCTTATTATATTACTATAAAACATAAAAAAGTATTAGTATTTATTTGATTGCACCTAAGATATGGATTAAAGTGTCTGTCATTCAATAAATTTGAAAGATTTATAGTAATTATTTTATTTTATAAAAAAATAAGTGAAGAAGACTTTATAATAAATTATTTAAAAAATTATCCTGATATTTTTTTAAAAAAATATTACATAAAATTTTGAATTCTATTGATATGGTAAATAAGTCCTATACATCATCACTCATAAAAAAAAACTTTTATTATCATTAAAAATATTGATAAAAAAACCTTTATTATTATTTAAAAATATTATTAAATTAAGGGGTGAGGTGGGGGGAGGAACACATCATTCCCATATGCCTCATTCCTTTGGGGAAAGCAATACAATAATATATATAGGATGTGAGGGTAATTAGTTGAAGGTTTGCATCAAGTAAACCACAACATAAGAAATGCACAAAGGTAGCTAAAGTTACTGTCATCTCCATCATTAATAACCACTTAAACAAGTAAAAGAAGAAGAAGAAAGCAGAGGTAACAAAACAAAGGGAATCAATCCATTTCATTTCATTTCATTTCATGGACTAAAGAAATGGTGGGTTGGAGTGTGTCTCTGCTTTCCTTTTTCCTCCCTTTGCCACTTCTATATACTCCCTCCCTCCCTGCCTGGGCGGTGCTCAATGATTCATCTCTCTCTCTCTCTCTCTCTCTCTCTCTGCCGCTCTGTGTGTGCAGTGTTGAGGTATAAATGCGATAAGCATCTCTCCTCTCTCTTTCCTGTCTCTGGCTGTGCGCGAATGTTCATGTATTCTCTCTCTATCTCTCGCTCTGCTTTTCTCTTGGAGCAGGAGAAGAGGGTGCAAGAACAAGGGGAGGCGACCGAGCAGCAGAAGACAGGGAGAAGCGAGATCGAAGATTTCCAACAAGGCTTTCAATGGCAAAAGTGCTGTCGTCAAATGGTAGGCAGAGTGATTAAAGGCGCAAGGAATCTCTAGTGCGAGGGCGTGGCACCTTTCCTTTTCGCTCTGTACACTGCGTGAGCGGGTGTTCTTTGGGTCTTCGTGAAAGGAAAGGAAAGGAAAGGCGCGATCTTTGAGGGGATGGCTTGAGTTCTGCTCTTCTGCCTGCGACCGATGCCGCTCTCTCCCTCTCCCTCTCAGGTGGGGATTCCTTCCCTGTTTGCCTTGTCTTTTTACTCCTTGTTTCTTGGTCGCATGTACTCTGAGCTCTGATGCCCTCTCTGTCCATTTCCTGAGCTGGTCTTCTGCTAACAGCAAATTCTTGGCAGGCAATTCATATCTTTGATTTGGTACTGTCGGTAATAGTCGTAAAAAGGGCTCCCTTTCTGTTAATTTCTGATGCTTGCCATAGCCAAAAGGCTGCTGTTATCTGAATCAATGGCTTCTGAGGGGTTTCTTCTGAGACTTGTGGGTTTAGCGGACTGGGTTTGTACATGTTTCCATGCTTTCTTGGCTTCTAGCTTTTACCCCCCTTCTCCCGACTGTTCATCATAGCTTCTAGCTCATCTCTGTTCCTTCTCCTTTCTTCAATTTGGATGGCGTTCTTCGATTCACTTGGGACAATCTCTAGTTCGGTGATTGGGTGCTTGTTCTGAGGCTAATATACTATGATTTGCTTGTATCAGATCCGAAGAAGAAGATCGAATTCGGATCCTGTTTTGCGTCTTCATCAAGGAGAGGCTAATTCTTCCTCGTGGCTGCACTGAAGATTGTCACCGGCAAGGTTTGGGAGGTAGAAATGGAAATGAATGAGGACAGGAAGTTTGGGTTGGAGAAGAGCCATGGAGATCACCTGAACAACCACAGTTCCGGTGTCTCTGCTGACTGGCAATTCAACACCCCTGCAATGAGTGCAGCGCCGCCGCACCCTTCCACCGCCGCCAGCCTCGTGCCACCGTTGACTTCATCTCCGCTTCTTTCGGCTCCAGTGCCGGAGGCCTTCGTTCCTGGTCTCTGGAACTACCATACTATGAGTGTTGGAGGAAGTAACATCCAGAATACTACGAGTGCCATCGGTTCTATACCAATTGGAAGACCAGTAGCCATGTCCTCCAAAGGCATGCTTCTATCAACTCCTCCCGTAATCTTTCCTCCTAGCTTGCCTCATTTCCCCGCCGATTCAGGTTTCATCGAGCGGGCAGCAAGATTCTCATGTCTCAGTGGTAGTAGTTTTATGGACATGAACCTCCTCAGGCCATCTCAATCAGTGGCTCCGGCAAGAAAGGCTTCGAAGGTTGTCATGGAAACTCAGGTTCAGAACACTGAGCTGAGTATGACTGGTGACAAAGCAGTCTCTCTGCCTGCTGCCTATGGATCCATTGATCAAAGTCGGATGGACACCCAAAGAGATCGAAGAAGCTCTCATATCTCAAACAGCGAATCCCAAGAAACAAATTTCTGTGAAGGTGGACAAGAAGGGAACGTTGATTCATCAGATGTAGCTGGGAATTCATCTCCTAGTGATCTTGGTGCAAACAAGAGAAAAAGAACCATTCGGGTAGATCACATCCTTTTTTTCTTGAAATACCATTATTTCTGTGTAGATCCTTTTATTCTGTTCTATTCTGCAAATAGTGATAGGTGGGCGCTCAAAAGGCTCTAAGAGCTTCTGTTTTGCTAGGATATGGAGAAGGACCAAGTTCAAAGAGGTCCACAATCATCCTCGGAGGCCACAAAGGATGACACTGAAACTAAACACAAAGTAGAACAGAACAGCTCCAAACACGGTGGGAAAAATGGGAAAGATAACTCAGAAGCTGCAAAGGAGGGTTATGTTCATGTCAGAGCACGGCGTGGACAAGCCACTAACAGTCACAGTCTGGCAGAAAGAGTAAGGTTTTAATCTAATGATGCTATCCGAGAAGCTTTGTCATGACACCCTTTTCCTTCACCAGCGAAAATATCACTAGTTTAACTGAATGGATGCAGGTAAGAAGGGAGAAAATTAGTGAAAGGATGAAATATCTTCAAGAACTTGTGCCTGGTTGCAGCAAAGTAGGTTCAGGAGACACTTATGTGGTAGATAGTGAAAATTGACTTCTATGATCATAAAGTGTGACACTAAACTGTAATCTGTAGGTCACAGGAAAAGCAGTTATGCTCGATGAAATCATAAACTATGTTCAATCACTCCAAAGACAGGTTGAGGTAAGCTCCTGCGTTAATTATAATTGGAAGTTCTACTGTCGGAGTGAAAATTCAATAAGAGTACCATGCTTTTTATATGCTGAGATATACTGAAATGTGTGTCTTGTTTCTTCTTGTTAAGTTTCTGTCCATGAAGCTTTCAGCTGTCAATCCACAACTTGACTTCAGCGTAGAAAGGCTTCTTGCCAAAAATGTGGGTAACTTCTCTTCCTCATCTTATCGAAGTTCCTTGGAAATTGATTCAAGAATATTGTTTTTTCTAACTTCTTGAAGCTAAGTAATATATTTCAATTTGTATTTTTCTCCGTTTAAAAACAGCTTCGACATTCCCATGGTAGCCCATTATCTATAGCTGGATTCTCACAGGAGATGAGTTACCCTCAGGTGTATCCATCTCAACAGGGCTTGGGGCATGCTGGAGGCTCTACCATGGTTAACCTTTCGGACACATATAGGAGAACAATGAATACTCAATTACCAACAATGAGTGGTTATAAAGAGCCTTCAATGCAGGTATACCCACTCATCAAAGGAAATCTTTTCTGTTGAATTTAGAAGAAAATTGTTGTGCAAGACTATTTGTCAAGTTTACAAAAGAAAACTTCTCTTATCTTTTCTGTGAATTTGAAATTTTATTAGCTTTTGCTTAGAGCAGTTAAATTGTCCTTTATTCCTCGAAACTCAAGAATTCACAGCTTTTTTACTAATTATTCTATGCGGTTGGTTCTCTTCACCTTTTGGCACTTTTTTTTTTGTTGTCAATTTGATGAAGGCCAGCATCTCTGAGCTGCCCATGTATATAATGTCAAGCATATAAAAAGATGTGTATCTTGAGAATCTTGCCATGCTGAATTCAATTTCCCATAATCCCTCAAGAACATGTTCTTTGTTTTCATGTTAACTTTATTTTCTCCCAATTTAAAATGGTTCATTGGGCTACATCTTTTTCATTTATTCAATTTTGTGAATACTTCTATCAATCTCATTATAGAGGACCAATCTTTTTTCAGTTATTTGAGAGTATGTTGTTAAACTCATGTATCAGCATGCTCTGGGGACTAAGAGAATTTTCAGCATAAGACGCATGCTAATTACTGCTCCGTCAACCGAGAACTGACTATATCCACATGTCTGCGATCTTACTTTTGTCTCTTATTCTTTTCTTCCACAGATGCATAATCCCTGGAACGAAGAGATCATCATGCAAATGGATTATGATGCTAATCATCCTCCAAATGCACAAGAGATAAATAGAAAACCGGATGGCTTCACAATATAAGACCACCACACTACCCGAGTTCCTGTCCAAAAATCTAACCAGGCCTCAAGGTCACTAAGAAGTCGAGTTCTAGTACCACCCTTGCATACAGTTTGAGGTCCACTGAACCGTTACAGAGTTCGTCCGTCGATACAAGCTCCGGGGTAAGATAGTTGTCATCGAAGCCTCAGTGTTCCTCTCGGTACATCCAAAGAGCAATGCCACCAGCCTGTAATAGGAGGAAATGGAGGGCATCTCACTTCCTTCTTGTTATATGATGTAGCAGGTCCATTATGTTTTCCAAAGTAGTAACTTAGCAGAGAAATCCAACATAAAGTTGAGCCTCTCACTGTAATGTCACACTAGGAGCATAAGTTTTGCTGATAGCAAGAAAAATCTCAGATGTGTTTGTAAACAGCACACCACTGTTTGTAAACTGGGTTTATTTTCTGTGGAAATGGAACCCATGATTTTGCAATTATTTTTCTGGTTTAATCGACCTAGCCTTTTGTGTTCGTATGGATCAGTTTTCGCATGCCTTGTTGCCAATCAATACTCTTCAACGTGTTCAGCAGCAATTCCCTCGAGAGAAAACCATGTATGTTCTACCAAGATCCTCGAAGAAGCTCTTCTTTGTTGGCTGGTGGACCAACTGTGATCCGACAAAGATCTGCTGGTGGTTGGCTGAGGTCCACACCCAAACCCTATCGCTTCGAAAGTATCTTTAAGCTCTGTTAATGACTCCCAACCAAGGCTACCACCACGCGATTAGCTGTTATATGCTGATGCGAGGTTGAAGCAGTTCTTCTTCTCACGAGCAATCCAACCGATACGTTGGACGGATCTTGGCAGAGCACCTCAAATAATTCAAGGGTGATGGATGGACCATCCAACCACCACTGGCTGTTAGGTAACACAGGTTTTTCTGACAGCCGAGAGTAGACCGGAGGGGAGTTGCTCCCCTATGGGTCCCACGACAAGGACACGTAATGATCAGTTTTTGCAGTGCAAGAATATCCTCTGCATCACACGCCATTTGATTGGCTCCTTTGACAGACATGCTTGTGGCTTCAACTGATCTATTTGACATGCTTGTGGTGGCTTCAACTGATCTATTTGACATGCTTGTGGTGGCTTCAACTGATCTATTTGACATGCTTGTGGCTTCAACTGATATATAAATTCTCAAAACCTCGTATGCAATCACTCTCTAAGCCTTGTTTATACGTATAATTTTCTCCACTATTTTGGTAAAAGATGTTTCTTTTCTCTACAACCATGCTCTTCATCTCTTTCAAACCCACTGCTGCTTCCTCCAAAACCAATGCCTCCTCAAGATAATAGTGAAGGATCACTGAGATCTCCCAGATGCTGCTAGCTCCCCCGGAATTCTCCCATCTAATAATCACCTAACAAAATTCAACCTTTTTTTTTTTTTAAACCTTCTTTTATATGCATGGTTTCATTCTAAGCCTCCAGACAATTCGAGAGACTTGTACCAAAAATTTACAGTTACACTACCCTGGATAAGGTTACATACTGAGAACATGTAAAATTTTAACCACTGCACCTTGTAAAAGGGTGCAATCGTGTACAACAAACAGCACAACATTTCACAGACCAAATTTTGGAATTCATTCGTTCTCCAGAACCGGCTAACCTTTCAGCTCTTACCAGAAAGTATTGCCGCATGAACAAAATCCTCGCATAGAGAGACTCCTCCCGAGAGGGCATCTCTGAGTGCCCCCATCACATCAAAAGCTTCCTGTAAATCGGTGGCTGTCGTCATGTCCTCAAGCCAGGAGAGCAGGTCCTCGGAGAATCTCAACATTTCCTTCATGTTCACCATTCTCTCATTCATGATAATCTCCCACCTTTCCAGACCACTCGTGGTTGTGCTGTCGCCTTCCGCTGGCTCACTGGAGATAGCTGTGCTTCGCTTACTGAGTTTAAAGAACTGCTGCAGCTGCTCGATCAAGCCGGTATATATAAGCATTGGCTGGACAATTGAGAATAGTTTCTTACTATCGTTCAAATCCATCGAGGAACCTTCATCAGATCTTTTAACCCTGGAAGCTGAATCAGAGAACCTAAGAGTGGAACGGCCATGTTTGTGCTGCATATAGGCATAGTACATTCCCCTCTGTAAGAAAGCACGACGATGCTGCAACCAATCCTCGTATGACTCAGACAGCAGGGAGTTAACCATCATGAACTGGACTGTCTCATCCGAGGGTCCAGAAGAAGAGCGAGATCCAGAAAGAGGGGGTGAAGCTCTGGAAAGATCCGAGGTAGAGGAGGCATTAGATAGATATGCAGCAACTGATTTAGCCATTGCTTGTCTCTGTTGATTGGGGCTTCCTTGGTCTACTAGGTAGGAGGCCATCTGGATCATAAATGGAAGAAAGCGCGAGTTGCTTTCCTTGCCTCCACCTTTGCAGTCTTTGTTGAATGCGGCACCAGTTGCAAATCGAGCCAACATCTGAAAAATGTAGTAACACAATCAGAAAGGGACAACAGATTTTATACAAATCAAATGACGATCAATATGTCAAATTTGCAGCATTAGCAAAAACTAGAGAAGCACAATTCCCAGAGAAATAATTTAACCGCATGGGTTGGGCTATATCAAGGAAATATTCATAACGTAAATTTTGAAACAACACTTCCCATTGTATTATCGAAACTATAACAATTGAACAGCAGTACCTGCAATCAGGTTTTCTAACTTCAATGCCACTTGTATGCTGACTGAAAAGCTTGTCAAGAGGTAGCACTTAAAGTAAGCACCATGGCATCATTGCAAGGATAATTACCAAGATCTCCCTACTATAACCAATCTGGAAGAAATCAAGTTCCAAATCCAGGGTCTTTAAGACTTCCCAAACTTATTCCTGTTGTTTCCTTTTTCCTTCGATTTGTGGACCATTTGAAGTAAGGTTTTCAATTTGGTGTCCCAGACCAGTTCTGGTCTATGACCGGACCCGTGATCTGGCCTATCTGACACACGGTAGGCCAGAATATGGTCTGGTACCACTCTGCCACCATACTGAGAGAGGAGAGTAAAACGGAAGAGGAAGAAGGAAGTAAAAGGAAGAGAAGATGCAACATGGATGCGATCAGCCACAGAGAGGAATGCTCATGAGTTGCAAGCCCTAGGCCATAGGGTGCTTAAAAGGGAAAAAGAAAAAAAGAAAAAAATAATTGTTTGTTTCTAAAAAAGACTGGACCGAACTGTCCGAAATAGGCAGTTTGCAACCCACGAAGATGTCAGACTGGTATATACTGCCCGGTGCCTACCGGTCTGGGTGAAATGTAAATCTATGGTTTGAAGATCAGGATAGTTTTTCCAAAGAATAAATCATTTTGTCCATAATCAATCTAAGCATCAGCGGTGTTTCAACCAAAGGAAATTTTAAGTGGTTAACATTTGCACCTCTGATGACCACATTCTAGAATAGACACTGCACATTAAATCTGAAAATAAGAAATTTTTCGTACCAGAACAATGTCGTACGTAAGCAGCCGTAGCCGACTACCATCTGCTCGTCCAAGGGCATTGAGGTTGTCCCAGTACTGATCGACACAACGGACATACTGTGCAAGAGGTACGGATGGTCCCCTGAGAGGGAAGATGCAATTACATAAGGTCTCATTGTTTCTCAATGTAGCACCTTCCCATTCTTTTTTGGGATTTTTAAGCGCAGCATCAGCACGTTTCGCCTCCTGATGGCACTGAAAATGGATGACATTAAAATGACTGACAGTCGTATATACATAGTCCCCACGTGCACTGGCTGAACTTGTTGCACCCAGGTTCACCCTCTTGCTGTAAGAATAGACACCCAGCATATCGTTAGGCCTCAGTGTATAGCCCTCCCGACATACCATGCAAGCCAGCCCATCCTCTTCTTCCACATCTTCTAATCCTTCAATCACCGGCTGGGAAACAACAATACGTTCAGCCCCATCCATCGCAAATTCTTGATGCATTCCCAGCGCCTAGAACAAATTAAGATAGCAGAAAAAGCGGAATAGTCACATTGTGTTAATTTGAACTAAAGATCTGGGAAAGCAACAGCTGAACAGTATTAAACAAAATGGATGGAAAAAGAATGATTTAACCTTAAGTAACTGTTCTCTTTTCCTCAGAGCTCGGCGACGCATTTCATCCCTAGTAGCATGTCTCAACTTGTGTATCTTTTCCCCTAAGAAGCCATCACCATGATTCTCTTTGTCAGCCAGTGTGTCCAACAAATTCTCAGCTCTTGCACCAATTTCATTTTCACCAGGAACGCCTTCCAAAGCATGCAATAGTGGTAGAATTCCTTCCTCATCAATGCAACTCTGTGTAGCCAAATGGCCCTTTGACAGGCCCCTCAGCATAGACAAGATCAACGGAATTGATGGCAATTTCAAACCAGATGCCCATTCTGCACTTGACCTGAACCCAGCCTGGCCGGCAACTGCAAAGCTTTCTCTTAGGTGCTTAACAGCAAGGCCAATAATTCCCTTGTCAAGTATAATGTCCTTTATCCTCTCGCCACAGGAACTCGTCTTAAGTGACTCCGACACCCGCACAAAGTTTTCTAAGGCAGATCTTTGCTTAGCTGCTTGATGAGCCAAACTCTCATCCTTAGGATTATCCTGGTATTGTTTTTGCAAATGATCGAAATCACTCCAGTTTTGCAAGTAAGGGTCAAAATGTTGGATTAGAGCTTCCATAGCAGCTGGTTCCCCATAGGTCAAGTATGGCAAGATCCTTGCCACCATTTCATCATTCCGCTGCTGCTTGGTTGATTTTTTGGTGCCCAAAGGATGGCATAATCTTTCCAGAAACATGAGAATGATTTTCTTGGCTTGCTCACCAGCACCACTCTTTTCATTAGTAACAGTAAATACACTTTGGTTAATGCCAATGTCACTCTCATTAGCTTCCATTGTCAAGCTCTCTACAATCAGAAGGATGCCTTCAGCTGGTTCAAAGGCATCAACAGAGAAGGCACGCCTTGCTGTCTCGAGCAGCAAACCTAGAGCCCCTAATTGTAACAAGGCTCGTCGATTCTCTCTTATCTTGCAGCAATACATGAGAAGGTTGAGTGTCAAGCCTAACTCTTCTTGATTTGATTTCAACTCATCGTCACGCAATCGCTGCAGAAAAAATTCAAAAATATAAGGCGGCAATAATGATCTGAGGTGATATACAGAAACAAATGAACATGTATCACAATCAACATGGACTATTGCCAATATAACTACTAAACCAACAAAAACTACTAGGGGCTAATATAGTAGAGAATATAATGAACCAATCCAACAAAATACTAATGGCTTCAAAGCACTTTGCTTCTCACTGGTGTACACGAAATGGATGTTAGATTCCCCCCAGTGAGTTTATCTAAAGCAACAACAAGATCAATGTATCCATCCAGTTGTAGACCTTGCATAGTCTTTTTTTTCCTGTTTAAGGTTACCAGTCATACTATTTAAACAACAGCTACCTGGATCATGCTTA